TGGTTCCCACTCGAACTATCATACTCCTGCCATTGAGATACGACGTCAGCCAAGTAAGAGTCTTTCCACGGATACCGTACCAATCAAGTTTGGAGATTAGTTTTGAATGGCAGACTTTATCAAAAGCCTTCGAAAGGTCGAAGTGGATGACATCTACTGACTTTCCGCAATTAATAGCTTTGCAGATATCATAAAATGTGTCAATAAGGTTGGTACAAGTAGAAGCTCCAGGCAGGAACCCGTGCTGTTCGGAAGGAATTAGACGTAATTTCTCAAACCAAGCCAGCATTTTATCATACAAAATCTTTTCCATCACCTTTGCAGGAGTAGGTGTGAGGCTAATAGGTCTGAAGTCACTCACTCTATTAGCATCTGAAGTTTTAGGAACAGCCGTTATAATGGCCCTTTTCCAAAGTTTAGGAGTGTCACCTAGAAGATAGGATATGTTAAAGAGGTGAGCAAGGGGCTCACGCAAGGAAGTATAGCATTTCCTAAAAACGATTTGAGGAATTCCATCAATTGGCTCACTCACAGAAGGTTTAAGACTTTTCAGTACAGAGGAAACATCAGTAGGATGAAAATAAATATCTGGCAAACTGCTTCGTAAGCTTGTTGAGCTATGGTCCATGGCACTTAGTGGTGAACAGGAAGGAAGGAAAACACTAGCAAAATAACTCCCTAAAGCTTCAGCCTTCGCAGAGTCAGTGAGCAGCTTGGAGCCAGCTTGATCTAATAGAGTTGGTAGAGAGGTTTTAGGTTTGAATTTGTTGCGGAGATATAAATGCAGGCGCCTCAGTGAATTTTGAGACCCAAGGCGGCGCTCGAGGTTAGCAATGAACTTATTGAGGTGCCGATCTATGTCTGAACAAACTTTTCTATAAAGCGGGCATTTTAAAGGATACTCCAGTAGATGGAATAGACGTTCCTTTTGACGCAGCAAATTTCTAACATGCAACGGGTATTTGACCGGCCGAAACCCAGGGAATCTCATCGGAACAAATATTTTGAATGCGCTGTAGAGAACACTACAAAATCTGTTATAGATTTCGTCAATAGTGCTATATTGGTCAAAAACTTCAAGCCAGTCCACGTGCAAGAGGTGCTCATTAAGGCCCTTGTAATCAACAGCCGAAAAATCCGGGAGAGGGACGATATGTGATGATTCAATTTTTTCTAACAGGACGAACCGAACGGAGGCATGGTCGGAACTGGCCAGTGGGGAAGAAATAGAGACATCACGTATATTAGGAATAGTAGACAGGACTAAATCGAGAGTGTTTTCGCCGTGAGTCGGCAGAAAAACGTGCTGTTGAAAGTTACCCTCTTGAAAGAAGTCAAGGAAAGGCGCTGAGGCTGAATTCAGGGCACGCATATTTCTCCAGTCAATAGAAAGAAATTGAAGTCACCTAGGATTACATTATTGTTCTGCTTCGAGACAATATCACGAAGTAAATCTATTAACTGCTCATCATCTCTCTTGTTCGAGCTCGGTGGTCGATAAACGACAGTTATTCGAGTTCTCAATACCTCGAGAGGGCAGAAAAGCTCTAAGGAAAGAACGTCGGCATTCATTGTACCATTCAATTCAACGGAAGAAGTAAGGAGGTTACCCTTGACTAAACAACATACCCCACCACCTCTACGATCTTTCCGGTCCAAACGGTAAACAAAGTAAGGGAATGCAGCTACAATTTCTGAGTCAGATATTTTGGGTGTAAGCCATGTCTCAGTAAAGAATATAAGGTCAGGCTCTTGGTGGCTAATTAAGGCGTGCAAGTGATTAAGCTTATTAGACAAACTACGGGCGTTTATTAAGTAGCATGTAAGGGCAGATGCGCCATGCACCGCTAGGCATTTACCGAACGTTTGTGAGGTAATTCAGATGTGTGTTTGAGTTGACCTTGGTAGACAACCCATTCACGAACATCCTTGCCCTTATTACGTTCTTCGGCCTCTTTGCGGAGCTCGTATTCGCGCTTCCTCTCGTCCTCTGTCATACTACGTCGAATAAAGACATGTGGGAGCCCAGCACCTCGAAGCAAACGTGCATTAGCTAAAGCTCGGCGCCAGTGGGACCTAGCTGGTAACACAACCTTGACGAGGCGAGGGCGATCCTTGTCACGCTTGCCCATCCGGTATATCTCGGTCGGGCGGCATTCGACGTCCAAAACGTCGAGGACAGCGCACACCTTATCCTCGAGGTCCCTTTGACGAGCCGAGGGAGGTAAATTGCCCGGCGCTTCATCCAGGCCAGAGATGACTATGCTACGTCCACGCTTATCACTCTCAAGAAGCTGAGAAAGTTCCATAGGAATCTTCTCCGAGAGAGCGATAAGCATGCTCTCAATGGCAGGATCCTGATTGAGTTCGATAATATTTTTTAAAAGCTCCATAGCTGACATATTTGTAAAATTTTGTGGCTCAGAAGTAGAAGCGGACTGACGCAGGCCAACACCACTAGCCAGGTTAGTACACGTTTGAAGGGAGCTTAACTTGGTGGTTTTTTGGCTGCGTGTCATACGTGGCATGTTTGATCTCTGATCTATCTATAATTAGGTCAATAACCAAGAAAAACAAACGAATACCACCTGAACTAAACAGAATAGAAACAAATACTTGCACTTGAAGAACACCCAATGTGTAAAAAAATGAAGTGCAAAGAACTATGCAAGAAGAGGCCTAAAGTTCTGAAGGAAGAACGACTTAGAAACGGAACAACGAAAAACCCACCAGAGCTCACGGGAACACGACCGGGCCACGGGCGCGCGCGTATTGGAATGATGTTATATGATGAATGAATGTATTATGATGTTATATCAATATTCTGTTTGGGCGAAAAGTCAGGAAGAGGTCAGCGCAAGCAACTTAATGAGGTCACCCCACAGGGAGGTCTGAGGAGGGCGAGGCACATTACAGTAACTCCTTAATTGGCTTACCGTATACTGTTATATTCTAAGTTCACACACCCGGAAATGCGAGACATCCATAACTGCACTACACTCGTTTTAGAATTTCGCTTTTTACGAGAGCAGTGCCAGCAGCGGAAAACCTCGGCTACAATAAGCAAACCTAAAAGAAACCAAAACGTTCTGTTGACTAACATCTCTTAGGATGCGTCGTGCACCGTTCTCTGACTCGAAATCGTTGTGGCATTTTGAATGGGATGACCTATATCATGACTTTTGTGAGTAACCTGGTGTACGAGTTAGTGTTTTTGTCTTCCCAGACAACTCTGATATTCATATAAGCGACCTCGTAGGGATAAAAGTCCTAATTGGCCCTGAACAGCGTAGTACAGTCCCGGATTTGATCCCCGAAACACGCGTTTTGTGGTGGATAACCAAGTCGGAGTTGTCGATCCGATAGTAGTTCGTATACCAGGATAGAATACTGCCACGCGGGACTTCACAGATCGCTGAATATCTTCAGAAATAACAGAGCATGAATACCAACACGACAGATATGGCACGGGTAATCCACCAGTCAGAACAACCTCAAACTTGGGTAATTAAACTTTATTTCATCTTACGAAATTGCGAAATGAAAAAATTAGAAGTAGATATGCTAATATCTTCATGGAGCATCGTGAGGTAAATTTCAACCGTAAAAACACTCGTATTAGTGGGTGAGTACAACGGAACTGCGGCTTAACGCCAAAGAAGACAGCAAGTGATATATTGCGGCTAAACGCCGATAAAGAGAACAATGAACATGGATCAGTATGGCCTAGTGCCAGATGGAAAACATGTAACGAACAGATGCGGCTTAGTGCTGGACAAAGAAACAAACATAAAACATTGCGGCCTGGTGCCGTGAGAGAAAAAATACAAACGAGTAATGAAATAGTGGGCTTACGCCGTAAGAAGAAACGATGAAAGAAATGCTAAAGCCAAAGGATCTCACTCACTATTTCGTTCATTGTCGCGGCTTGCGCCGGGACAATGAACGAAATAGTGAGTGAGATCCTTTGGCTTTCGGCGGAAGAAAAGGCAATGAAATACTATGGCTTACGTAAGATTGACAACTTCATGAAGTACTGTGGCTTTCGCCAGAAAAGGAAACAATGAAAATGGTGTGGCATACGCCGCAAGAAGAACAAACGAGTACTAGAATACCGCGGCCCAATGTCGGGGAGAAGAGACAAACTAGTAAAAGGCTAAAGGTGAGCCACACGCGGTGGATGAATGAAACGAGTAAATTAACTTTCATGGAAATTTGGGCCCGTTCAAAAGACTGCCTATCGTAGATGGTTTCTGCGCGTCGACTCTATTCGCTCTTCGTCGTAGATCAAAATGGTCGATATAAGTGTGATCGAGCACACTCCTCTAGGCATTTTTGGTCCTCAGGTCGCTTTACTCGTATCTTTTGTCGTGGTGAAAACGCCAGTCGTCGATGATGATCTGCCATTTTTTGCGTCCCGTAGGTAGCACAATGAGGTATGGTAATTTCTCATATGACAATATTAGCACTTGGTGGTCGCGCATGACTTACCTCGGCACATGGACAAAAATTTCTTGCACAGTCCTCTACGATTTAGTTCCTTTTGAAGCTGGATTCAGTCAACTTTTTAAGTTTATCCATTTTGTCGGTGGCGTTTTCGATAAGTTGAATTATGGGATTAGCTGTTGATGTCTCTGGTTTAACCAGTTTGTCGTATATCATGCATTCACTTTTCTTGATCCTTGAGGTTGCCGTTCTGAGTGAGGATTCGGCTTCTGCAGTAGCGCCTTGAATTGACTATCGTAAGCTTGGTTGCAATGCAGTTCCTTCGGCTCCTCTTCGAAAGCGTTCATATCATTTTGGAAACTTCTTCTTTCATTTCGTTGAGTCTTTCAGATTTCTTCGTTAGAATGACTCGGTAAGCTTGTTGTGGAGTCGTTCTTCGTTCCTTTCTTTGTCTTCGTGTCGCCGGCGATTTTCTCGTGAGGCTATGTCGGATTTTGTTAATGTGTCATAAGCTTCCCAGAGAAGTTCGGCGACTGCGACGTTGTTGGACACTTTCAACTAGGTAGTTTGGACGTCGTAATCGAGTTTTGTGATTTCATCATATATTTGACAGCTAATTGGACCAGGGTTGAATTGGGCACCACTTTTTCTAAGCTTTTCGAATGAGGTGTGATGCTGGAGGCTTTTTGGAGTAACTGGCATGTGTCGTCGTAGACGCTGTCTAGTCGACGTTGAACTTCTCGTTCTTCGAACATCAAACGGATTCTCGTATTTAAATCTTCTTGCTTGAGTTGCTTTGTTGCTTCTCGTGTGTTCATCCTATAATGAGTAGAAGTTGGTTGTTCTGCTGTTGTATTTTTCGTTGAGTCATTGTTTTAGTATATAACATTAAGTTGGTATTCTTCATTTGAGTAAGGATAATTTTGTATTCTTTGCCTTCTTGGTCTGTTTTGTGTGATGTCGTGTTAAGATGCATGATCGAAGTGTAGTAGGGTTTGGTGTCACCGTTCGCATTGTTTCGTTGTGACATGGTTTCTTCTTGGTCTAGCTCCAAAGGATGAATAAGTTGATTGGTCTCTTGGTTGTGTGTTTGTTGGGTAACTGGAGTTCGACTTGTCGTATTTCTCCGTTGTTCGATGGTAAAAGTTTTGTTATTCTTCCAATCCTCCATATAATCCTAGAAAGAACTGGATCGTGAAGTACTAGTTGGCCTTCTTTTGGCTGCTTCGGGGTGCTTTTGCCTTGGTCCAAGTAGATCCGATGCTGCTGCCGTAAACAAGTTGAGTATGCATCGTTCCACAGCTTCCAGAAGCATCCTGTGACTTCAAACGACGAACGTGAAGCTTCTTGTGCTTGTTTTCTTGTAAGAAGTTAAAGTGTCTCCTTGGTGGCAAGAAGTTGGGGTCTTCAGTGTCGTCTTTGACGTTGACTATGGGATACGAGATAGTAATTTGTTTTTGGGTACAATCAATCGGGCGTATAAAACTGATTTCCCTAGAGTTTCCTACTTGATACGTCAGAAGGTGACTATTCAGGCATTCTTCGAATTTGGTGAGAATTGTCCTTAGTGAGTCTTCGTCGACAATTCTTCTCCCGAAAGCTCTTTTGAGCGATAACTTGACATCCTTAATGAGTCTCTCGTAGAAGCCACCCTTCCAGAAAGCATAGGGGTGATTTTCATCCACCTGATGCCCGCATTGGTCATGAAGGTGTCCAATTGACTGGAAGTTTTCATCGTCGTTGGACAAGATCTTTCCTGCTAGTTGAAATGTAGGCGCATTGTCGCACGTACTGAGTTAGGCACTCCCTTTCGTGACATGAATCTTCGCAGTGCGTTGATGAATGAGATTGTTGTATTGTCGCCGATAAGTTCTATGTGCAGTAGGCGTGTTGTTGCGCAATTGAAAATGCATCCATACAGCTTCGTTTGGATTCCGTTTGTATTTCGGCTTCTCAGCGGGCCGAATAAGTCGAGTCCGACTTCTTGAAATGGTCGTGAACGTACGACTCGTCTGCGAGGTAACTCGGCCAATGGCGGGTGTCGAAACGGAAGGTTATTTGTTTTTTGGCATTCTATACACATCCTTAGAATCTTCTTAACCTGTTACCGAAGTTTCGGAATCCAGTATGATTGGCGGACTTCCAGCTTTGTTTGCGCGTTTGAGCGATACAATTTTCCATGTGCTTCTCGGATTATTAGTTGAGCTAACGAGGTACTAGGAGGAATGAAGATGGGATCCTTTGCATCTTCTGGTAGGAAGAGCTTCGAACATTCTGTTTAAGATCCAAACTGGAAAACAGGGCGACAAATCGACTAAATTTCTGTTTGCGGGCAAAAGGCGCCTCCAAATTACACCAATCAATGTCTAGATTGAGATCACCAAGCAGAACAATATTACATGACACCGAGCACAAATCGGAGATCGGTCAAAGCCTCTTATCACCAAGCGTGGTATGATTTGGGGGACGATAAATAAGAACGAAGCGGACGTATTCACACGAGTTGGAAAGCAAATCAAAACCAAGAACGTCCGCTGGAAAACTAGGGGGGTCAAGTACCTGCTTTGAATCGACATGTTGTTGTAGAGGCACGCAAATCCCACCAACTCGCTCATTTAATGTCTTTTCTGACAATTTTGTAAGGGAGCGCAGAAATGATTTCAGTTCCCGAGAATTTCGAGTTGAACCACGTTGACCCTGCCTTCAGGCTTATCGCATGAAATGAGGCGAGGGAGCTCAACGAGTTCTAGTACGCGCATCAAGAAGGAAACAAGGAATTTGCATACAGGGTGGCACAACCAGTTTTTTTTAGGTTCCTGACCTCATACTAATGATACCAGGAATTCTGATTTCTCAACTACCTGTTATCTGAAGGCAACAAAAATCTTCCCATCGCCGGGGTTGGCATCGTTCAGCTCTTTCGCTCTGGCTCGAAGCTGCTCCTACTTTTCAATTTTACTGGAAGTCAATGATCTCCGGTAAAACTACCTTATTCTTAAAGGAGGAATTCACGATTAGAATGAAGGTCGAAGAAAGGGAAACTGACCTAGTTGAGGGACCCACGGACCTCCTGAGGGTGCGAACTGACGCGCAATTCGCATGGAAAAATTTGACCTCGGCGACCTATCATGCCTCAAAGCTGGCGGGTCCGGCGATCTCCGCCCACCGATCATCTGATCACTCGCCGTAGTTCAATACGTGGCGAGTGATTAGATAGCTGAGAGAGCGTAGTGTTGAAGAGGGCACAGCGATGAGAGTCGCATCAATGCTCAACGGGCAAGGAAGGGGTCCCATTTCTCGGGTTCTGGGCCGTTTCTCATGGTTCTTCCTTCTTTCGTGTACCACTCACCATCCCTAGGTTAATTTGAAATGGGTTGCTTTTTCATCGTGAATCCTTTAAAGGAGGGGTTATTTCTTAGTAATTTTGAATTTTTGAGAGTTTCGAGATACTGCTTCCGAGAGGAAAAAACACATTTAACGACGAGGCGAATCTTACCAGTTTCGCGCTTCCCTAGCCTGGAAATCTCCACAGACCTCGCCATCAACATCTAGCTCGTCTAGTATTTCACTTACCGCTTGTTCAGTGGCTGTCTGACCTATAAAAGCAGATAGCGTTGAATCTTCCAGAATACCAGAGATGACTACTGAACTTCCTCCAGCAGCTGCGATCTCCGAAGGGTTTGGAATTAGGACACCGACCAGCTTTTCCAAAAGAAGAACGGCTTCTGGAGCTCTCTGCCCTAGTATGCTCTGCAATTTAGTGAATAAGTTAGAGCAGTCCTCAGACAGGGAGTATGCAATTTGGGCCGAGTAAGGCAAAGATGGCTTCCTTTTCTGGGATTGACCGGGGTCAGGGAGATCATGATGGGACCAGAGAGCAATCGATGACATGACCGCTCGCCACGACCACAAAATGCAGATTTGACCGCACAATGCGGAATTGGTTTTGCATTTCCTGCACTCACGTACCTCGCTTGTCTTAGCTTGCTTTGAGGTACCCTCAACTCTAAATCATATCAGCAGCGGTCTCGAAACGCTGCGCACTGGCAATCGCATCCATTGAGGAGACGTGTGTGCCACATTTTCGCTTACAGATGGTTTTTGATTATGTAACAGGGTACCGGACGAGGTTAGCTCATAGTGCATGTAGCTATTTATGTATCATCCGTTTCGTCCGAGAATTCGAAAGCTCTGCTTGAGCAAGTCACATTCGGGGTTCTGTTATAGTAAGTAGGCACTCGCTGATGCGCTGCCGGCAAAGGGCGTTTCCACAGAAAACTGTTATTCTTCGGGTCGCGTGTTCATTGGCAAATACAATACTTGTTTCCGTCGGCTTCGGTAAAATCAACAAGGGACTCCAAAAAAAATTCTAAAAAAAAAGATTCCGAACCATCAATTCTGTTGTAGGGTGTTATTGATCTATGATAATTAGATGTGTTATCTTAGTCTTGCAAACCCGTGTGTTGTGCGTAGCCATGTCATACCGGTACTCAGAGGTTTTTATGTTGTCATGTTCAGTTCTGTTCTTCAATAAATCTTCTCGTCTCCTGGTGTTCTTCGGCCGCCAACAACCACGTCTACAGACCTCCAATATGTTTCCGCTCAAGCACCCAGAACGAGAGTGATACAGAAATGGTGCACAGAGCATTCTCTGACTTCATGAAACACGACGGATTTCCTCTTGTTCTCCGGATTTTATCCCGATCTCCCGAAGCTTCGCTGCTTTGGA